AGCACACACACACATACACACACACTGCACATACACACACACACTGCACACATATCTGTATCTGCCAAGTGCTGGGATACACACACACACACACACTGCACACACACACTGCTCACACACATACTGCACACATATCTGTATCCACCAAGTGCTGGACCACACACACACACACTCTCTGCACACACACACAATGCACATACACACACACTGCTCACACACATACTGCACACATATCTATATCCACCAAGTGCTGGACCACACACACACACATACTGCACACACACACACTGCACATACACACTCACTGCTCACACACATACTACACACATATCTGTATCCACCAAGTGCTGGACCACACACACACACACACTCTGCACACACACACACTGCACATACACACACACTGCTCACACATATCTGTATCCAGCAAGTGCCGGACCAGCAGATGCTCTGCAGGGAACAGGAGCTCTTTCCCTCCTCCCTGGCCTGCTGGTGGTGGCTGCAGCTTCTCTGTGTTCTGCAGTGTTGGAAGAAGAAATTACAGAACAGATTGCAATTAAGGGGGATGGGGGGGCACAGAGGCCCTAAAAATGCAGCTTGACTGAGAGCTAAACTGTGTTTTTGCCTGGAGCCAATCAGGAGCCTCTGACAAGAGCCTGTTCCCACTTACAAATCTAATTGCAGGAGGTGTGGCTGGGGTGGCCCTGGAGCTGGGGGGCGGGGGCTGCTGGCAGACCTGCTGGTGTGTAGCTTTGAGAGCCACAGAGCCACACAGGAGAAGGAATGGAGGTTGGGCAAAGGTCTTGGAGGCCTGGGAAAGTCTGCCATTTTTTGTGATAGCTACAGAGATTTCACATATGTCACACACCATGCACACACAGTCTCTAGTGTACTCATCCTCCTGGGGAGGATCCCCTCTTTCACACAGAAGAAACTGAGGCACAAAGTGCCTACTATCTGCAGAGTCAATTTTTTTCCTTCTAACTCTGTAACTTGTGAGCTCTGTGGGATGAACTCAGGTTGCCAGACTTGGATGGCAAGGCACTTTTTTTTTCTTTTTTGAGACAGTCTCACTATGTAACCCAGGCTGGCCTTGAACTCACAGAGATCTTTCTGCCTCTGCCTCCTGAGTGCTGGGATTACAGGCCTGCCCCCCCCTGGCTGAGGATACATGTTCATGCATTGTACCTTACTAGTTCTTGGTAAGAATATTAGGTTTACTAAAGGACAAATAAAACAACAGAATGACAGTTAAATCTTCATGAGTAATATAGCAATGTTCCAAATATAGTGTGGAGTATATGTGAATTAAAACTAGTCTTGAACTGAATGTCCTGTAACACAATAGCATCCTAGGCCTCTTCTCCCCTCCTACCTCTGGTCCCCTCCTGTTGGCAGCTCACGCAGTAAGTAGGTTCTGGGTCCTGTGGGGTAGAAAGGACCCTAAGAGTATGTTGACAAAGGGGAGGACAAGATCTTTGGCTCCAGAACATAGAGCCCTGAGCCTCCGCCTAACATGACTTTTCACGAGTGTCTCCATCACACGTCTGAGTTTTTGAGGTAGGGTTTCAGGTAGCCTAGGCTGCCTTGAGCCCTGAACTTCCAAAGGCTGGCATTCTTCTCTTCTTTCGGAGGCTTCCTGCAAGAGACTCAGTAGCAGGCAGTAAGTGACTGCAAGTGTCCCCAGTAGCCCTAACATTCTTGAGGTCTCTCCTGTTTGCTGTCCACAGGGCTGGACCTAAGCCAAGGAAGGTAAGAATCCTGCAGCTGTGCTGCTGTGACAGAGGACTTGCAGCCCTGGGGACGGAGAATTCAGGGGAGACACCTGGCTCAGAGGAGGCGGCTGCTGATATGCTGGGATGCTGGGAAGAGAGCTGTTCTGCTGTTTTTTGTCCTTCAGGGACAGCAGGGGACCCAGGTTTCAGGCTCCAACAACCCTTAAAGGAGCTGTGATCCTGGCAAATTCCTCTGCTTCTTCAACTGCAAAGTGGGGCTAGTGCCGCCTAGTTATGCAGGAGGTGCATAATAGAGGTTTGCCGCTGCCGCTGCTGCAGCTGCTGTGGCGGTGACCACACTACCTGGTGATGGCACTCGGGCATCTGTCTGAAAACAGCCTTCCCATGAGGAAAGCTGACCTCCGGAAGGGCAAAGCCTTCCCATGAGGAAAGCTGACCTCCGTAAGGGCAAACCCACTGGGGTCCCGTTGGAGCTCAGCAAACAACACGACCCACTCCAGACTGCCTTCATTTCAGCTACATTTTATTTGTCGCATTTTTGACAGACGTCTAAATTATACATTGAGCTTTCCACATGACCAAACACCACATCCCTTCCTTTGATTATCATTTTCAAAAGGGACTATAAAAAAAGAACCTTTCGATGGATCACACTGAACCCTGAAACCACATGGAGAGCAGAGCTAAAAATAAAGGGAGAAGCGTCCCGAGAAGGAGAGGAAGGAGAAATCAAAGCACACTACAGATGGGGATGGAGGCACGGGTCCTGTCGAGGGTGACATGGTGTCACCCTCCAGGCCAGGCCGGAAAAGCAGCGGCCAGCAGTGAGGGTGGGGCATAGAGTGGCATTAAAAATAGCCACCACTTTAGTCCGGAGGGGAATGAAGGAATCGTCAAAGCTAGGGGACAGAAGAGGAGGAGGACAGTGACGATGGCAAGACCGTCCTTCTGCGGCATCTTAGGCTGTGGACTTTTCTACCGGGCAGAGCTAACCGCCGGCATAATCGCTGACTTTCAGCTGTGCGCCGACATGTTCCCCAGCTCAGCCCACATCAATGACACCCTTGTTTCCATAGCAACCAAGGGAGAGCGAAGGGGAAAGGGTGTATTGCACTGGGCGAAGGGAATCCAGCCAAAAGCAGTCACACAGGGAGGGTGGGAGGAAGGCTCAGTTTTCCCACAGCTGGTTTGAGGATACAGTGTGGACTTTGCCTGCCCTCTGGCCTCCGCCCTCGCCCTTGCACATTCAGATGCAATGGTGCGCAGAGCAAAAGTCTTTGCTCACTGGGATGGGGGAAGGCACAGGGCTTCAGACCCTGTTCTCTGGTCATGGCCACAGGGGGCAGGGGTGGCATTGGAGAGGAAAGGGGACTTTACAAACATTTTGTTTTCACAAATGGGAGCTTTCAAACTCTGCGTTTTCCAAGCTCCTCTCATCTATCCTGGGAGCCCCCGGAGGGTTCAACAGGGCTCACAGGGAAGATAAAAGCCTGTGACAACCACAGTTGTCTCTGGTGTCTCTAGCTGAGAAGCCATGTGGCCATTTACAGAAGCTTCAATCAGAGCAGGGCAAGTGGTTCTGCCTGCTGGCTGGAGCCCGGGGAGGACTCTTTAGAACAGTCCCTTTGGTGGGTGGGAAGAGACCAAAAATATTTTACAGCTCATGCCCTTCCAGGGTCAAAGCCCCCGCCGCAGCATTCCAAAACTAGACCTGGGAGCAGGCATCAGCCCTTCAGGTAACTCCCCTTTGCACTACTTGGAAGGGAGAGAGAGCCTCAAGGCCAAAGCTCCATCTGTAGCTGGAGAAGGGCTTTTCTGTCTCCTAGCTCTGTCTGCCACCGGTCAGAGCTGGAGAAGTCAGTGGAAGAGGTGGCCGGGGAAAGCTAGCTGAGAGGGTTAAAAACCTCACCTTTTGTCTCGCAGGCCCTTACAGGCCTGTCCACGGCACACAGCCACCTCTCCCCTAGGCGGTTAATGGTTTTCATCACAGACCACCTTTCAATCTGCCCAGGCTTCTCCCCCTCCAGAGTCCAGAATAAGTTGGGGACCATGGACCAGGGGCTTCTGTGGCAGTTTCTGACAGCCTACACACCGCGGTGGGCTTCACCCCCAGGATGAGAAGGTAGCTGGCCTCCTTGGACCTACCTACCAGGTCTTGGGGAGCCTCTTATTTATTCTCTGAAAAGCCCTGAGCTCATGCCCAGAACACAGTTTAAGTCAGGAGCAGGCGATGTTCTGCCTGCTTTTGGGGTTTGAGGCTGAGATTTCTGAGGGCTCAGGGAAACATCCTCCTTTTGCAGTGGGGGAAGGGGAGGGCTTCTGCACCCCTCCCGAGAGTCAACAACACATTTGCTGGAAAGGAGAGGAGACCAGCGTGGGGTTAGTGGCTTCCCTGGGCACAACCCCTGCGATCACATCCCATGGTCAGCGGCAGCAGACGCTTCCCAGCCACGAGCTTCCCACACCACCTAGTTGCCAGCACTGTAAAAATTGATCTCTTCTCAAAATCGATCCGCCTGGCTTTTCTCAGTGGAGCAGGTTCATGGCAAAGCTGCATTTACTTTTAAAATCTGATAGCATCGGCCTATTGTGATCATTTAAAGACAGAATTCTCTGAGCTTTAGAAGTCCCCTCTATGGGACTGCAGTGGAGAAGTCGGCCAACCTGGAGTAAGCACTGAGCTGGAGAAAGTCTGTTTACGCTAGCCTGAGCTCTCGATGTGAGGGCTTTTTAAGGACCTTGTAATTTTTCTGGAATTAAACCTCCCACCTCTTCTTACATTCCAGATGTCATTACAGTCAAAAGTCATAAGAATCTGCTTCCTTGCATGGCTGGCAGGGGTGAGGGGGTGGGAAGTGGGGGGGGGGCTGGAGAGGGGATGTTTCTGTAGTGACTTGTTTGCAAGGATTTCTCCCCACCCCAAAGTGGGGATTACATACAGCGTCTTACCTACCTGACAAGATGGTTTAGTCATCTGCTGTCCTTGCCTCCCCAGAAGCCTCCTGCTGGACAGACTAAAGCCCAGGCTCAGTTGGGGATGAGGACAAAAAAAAAATCAGATCTCTGCCTAGCACCACCAAGCACGTGGTTTAACCACCAAGGGAGTGAAGGGACAGGTCAGTAAGTAAAGGGACTCAGCACTCATGGCTTCTTCTTCCTCTTTCTTCTTTCTTTTTTTACAAAAAGCCCACTGGAATTACCTAACCTGCAGCTCTTGCTCATCTCTGACCATGTGCTCTGAGACATTTAATACTATTCCAATTATGCAGAGGAAATAATATAATTCCTTTATTTGAAAAAAGATACTGAACCTTGGAGATCAGTTAAAATCTACGGCTCGAAAGGGTTCTTCTGAAGCTGTTGTCCCCTGGTCACACAGCAGTGGCTGAGCACAGATGAGAAACAGCAAACCAGTGATTTTTCAGGGCCGGGTTCGGCTCCCACAGCTCCTGCGGCTCCACTGGTCCAGACTTATTTCTTCTTCGCATTGACATTTTTACAGACCCAATTCATGCCATCCTTTGAGGGAAATGGGCAGAGAGAGGCAATATTAGTTGCAAGAAAGGCCCAAGAGCTCAGGTTAGAGGGGACTGCAGCCACCAACTCTGGAGAGTGTGTTGCCCCAGGGGCCCACCTGGCTGACCTGGGCCAGTGACCTCTTGGCAGGGCAGAGGGGGTTTCTGAGCACTGGAGGGAGCCAGAGGGAGCCAGCACCTGAACTTGAGATTCATTCTCAGGAACTCCCTCTGAAAAAATAAACACACCTGCCCTGGGAGCTATCAGGGAAGATTCCAGCCATTTTTGGCTTTTTTAAAAGCTGACCTTTGCTAGGGAACTAATTCAATGAGCCACCCTTCTGGTGCCCGGCGTGTTTACTGTGTGACGTGTATACTTGGGTTAAATTAAATTTCATTTTGGAAAAACAACCCTCTGCAGTGGGTGTTACTCCACACACTGGAGGCCTTAAAAAGTGGCTTCTTGTTGCTTTAAGCCCTACTATGCAGAGGGACAGAGGGAAGGAGAGAAGGTGCCCTTAAAGGCACAGCAACCTTGAAAGTGTCCTCTTTTAGAAGACTGGAGAGGGACACACACACTCTCACACACACACATACTCACATGCACAAGTACTCTCTCTCACACCTCTCACATGCACACTCTTACACACACACACACACACACACACACACACACACACACACACACATACACTCACACACACACAGCCTACAGCCACCCGGCAGGCAGCACATTCCTCACAGATGCCATGCCTGTCAGACACGACTCCTTTTCAACCCCCTCTAAGAGCATACCTGGACACACCCCTCCCCAAGGACTCCCGACCTCCAGGCATGTGCAAGTTCCCTCAGAAGCACAGACAGGAACTCAAGGCAGACTCTGCAGGGCATCTTGCCCAGAGTCTGGGTCTCACATATGTGTGCTATCAGACACACGTGACACCCCACACTCCAAAGCTCACGTTTCTGGTGGCTGTGGATCTGGCTGCTAAGCCTGAATAGCTAAAACAGCTTATAGCAATAGATGTCAGCTGACACCCTTGGCTACTGGGACATTAATCTCGTAAACAATACATCACTGCAAAACAACCAGCAGGTACCTGTCTCCTGGCTAATCTGCTGGTCACGACTCTTGGGCAGGAGAACCTGATGATCTGAGGGACCCTCTGCTTTGCCAAGCTGAGGCCTGGCCTTGGCAAAGAGCCTTCAGGTGGAGAGCATCTGGCTGCAGCTGGACAGCAGGTGTGGGGACCCCAGTGTATCTGACTACAATTGGGACAGCTGCACACCCTGAAAAGCCAAGCAATTGCTGGGTGTTGGTAGCGCACGCCTTTAATCCCAGCACTTGGGAGGCAGAGGCAGGCGGATCTCTGTGAGTTCGAGACCAGCCTGGACTACCAAGTGAGTTCCAGGACAGCCTCCAAAGCCACAGAGAAACCCTGTCTCGATAAAACCAAAAAAAAAAAAAAAAAAAAAAAAAAAAAAAGACAAGCAATTTTAAAACCGATTTGTATAGAAAGGATTCATTTAAAGAGAGCATGTTTAATTTTAGTAGCTAATTGGTTTCTAGGAAAAAAGAAATGATCACCTGCCAGGAGACAAAAAGATTTTTACACATACAAGAGGGACGGATACCATAGTATCTTCTCTTGCTCCAAAGCAAGGGCACTACCATCTTCAAGTGCTGCAAATACCCAGAGGTACCATCTCAGTGACGGTCTCCTCTCTACAGATGCAACCCTTCCTCAGACCAGCTTCCCTGGAAGCCAACAGTGCCCCCACAACGCCAATACTGTTTTGTTTTTTTTTCTTGGTTTATGGCTGGTGAAGAAGGGGTTTCTTTTATTATATCTCACTGAATGTATAAGTACAGGCAAAGAGATAGGGAAAATATTTACTCAGCTGCAGGCACTCAAAGCGGAAGCTGGAGGGAGCCATAGCTGTGGAGGCTGAAAGGGACTTAAGGGCATGGCCTGCTGAGGGGTCCGTCCTGCAGATGTCTGAGCATCTATAGGGGAGGCCTGCCCACCAAGTCTTGTCAACAGAGGGCGCTCAGAGCCCAGCACCCATGGCTGCCCAACCCCTGGTGTCATCCTGGGTCTCTGCTGGGCTTGAGGAAGAGGCCCCTTTGAGTTACAGCTTTTGGGGGCTGGAGGGGAGAGGGTAAGAGAGGGGGAAGCCACAATCCTCTGTGACAATGCTTCATCAATCAAGTGAGGGCAAGCGTTGTCGAGTAGCCCACTGGAAAGGAGAGATAATAGTGTTATCCAAAACCAAGATGGGAGGGTCTAATAAGCAAGGGACGGGCATGCTGTCTGGCTTAATATAGTCCATACTTATAACTTATAGTCTTTAAAAATTCTCATAACCATCCAGGAATATACTATTATTCCCATATTGCAAATAGGGAAACCAAGAATGAATAATCTGGGGCAGAGGTGGGTCTTGAGATACACGCATCTTCCCACTGAAACCAGACACTTGTCACCATTTCTCTGTGACTGAGGGTGGAGGAAGAAGAGCTCAGCCTCTAATTCACAGAGGGGCTGGGAGGCCCTTTGAAGGCAGGCGTGAAAGGCCATTCTACTGGGTTTTTTCCTCAGGACTTCCTTCAGCTGAATACAGGGAGGAATACTGGAGGAACCAGGAGCCCCGCCTGCCTTACCACAGCTCTAACAGAACCAGAGGAGTCCTAGTCTGCCAGGATCTGGGCCTGCAGGAGGCTGGACATTTGTGACCTGGGCTGCTTCTTCCAGTGGGTACGGGAGCCTTCTGAATCTGTTCCAGGGAACGGTGGGCTGCAGTGTGTTCAAGTGAATGCTGGGTTTTGCTGAGAAAAGGTGATTGCTTACTTGAAGGAGGTGACTGCTGTCCCTGAAGAAGGAAATGAGCTCATAGGTTTGTTTACTGCTTGAACCCTTTTTATTGTTAAAAACTGGCTTGATCGATTTCCTGCGCATTTGATCATCATTATGGGCATGACCATCTTTGGTGTGAACAGTCTCCCCTTTCCTTTCCGGACCAATCTTGCTGAAACTGAATTTGAATTGATCAGTTTCAATTCAATAATAGAGACTAAAGAGAGACAGGACACCTCAAACACTGGCTTCGTGTGGCTTCCTGGAGAGGAAATGAATACCTCTGGGTCACAGAAACATCCCCACCGTGACCGTGGGGGGTGGGGGTGGGGCAAGGGAACCCACCAATCACACCCCATGGCAGAATTGGTCTCTGGCTGCACTGCTCTTTAATTTGGTACCAGTCCAGTACATCCATCACCGCTGGGTGGCTGGAAGGAAGCTGTGGTGGCCATGGTTGGATGGATTGGTTTTTAAAGTAGGCTGACTATGTGGTCACTTCAGTAATTGCTTTAGGCTGACAAGGTGCCCAGACCGTTGCTGAGCAGGGCAGCCTGTCCCTCCCACTGTGCATTTAGGTGCCTGGGGTCAAGGACAGATGAACGCAGCATACATAAAATACTGCTTGCTGCTCATATTTTTCTGGTGACAAAGGGCAGTCCACCAGGGAGGGTGCAAACCACATGCCACAGGGTTACTCTCTCAGTTCATGGAGAGGTCTGCAGATATAAATCAACCTGAGGTCCAACGGACAGATACGCAGGTCCATGTATACCTGGAGTAAGTACCAACTGATCCCGGGCCCAGAGAGAAGGACTGGGCATCACTGTTTTTAATGCTGGGAAGAGCAGTAGCTGCACTGCAGAATAAGGGCTTAGCATAAACAAGGGTAATGGGTTCAGCTTGTACCCCACAAAGAAAAACAAATCAAACTCTGCTATCAGACTAGGAAAAACTCCCCTAGATCAAGGAAAAGGAAGCAGAGGCCCAAAGCTGGTTCAGCGCCTCTGACACACGCCAACTGCTGACCCTCCTAAGGAATCAATGGTGGGAGACAGTGACCTGACCAACCTTCCTGTCTGGGGGACCGGCAAAGGAAGGAATGGGGGTAGACTCCACGTGAAGAGGAACATTCTGCCCGTTCAAAGCCTTTGGTGCAGGCAGGTGACTGGGACAAAGTCTAGAGGTCAAGTTCAAACTGCTGACCTCTGCTTTAAGAGGAAATCCAGAAAAATGTCTCCAAACCCCGAAAGTACAACAGCAGTGCAAGCTCTGGGTGGAGACTCGGCTGCAGGCGGGAGCAGGGTGGCTTCCTCCCTAATTTTGTTTTTTATCTAAGCCGGGTCTGTTGTGCACCATTTCTTAGATGCCCTTTTGGAAGAAAAAGGACAAGAGACCGGTGCTAAATGAGGGTGCTAAATGACATGTCTAGGAAGCCCAGCAAGCAGCCTAGCCTCGAGGGCATGGTGGGGAGAGTGGTCTGACCGAGGGAGTTCAGGAAACCCTGCCCACACATTTTTCACTCTCCCTCTTTTCTGCTTTCCCCTGCTCATCTAACCGGGTCTCTTCTGGTGGCTCCTGTGGACCACAGTCCTCTCAGCAGGATGGAGCTGCCAAGATCGATGCTTCCCTATTCTCTGCTCCTGACAGTTTCCCATGAAAACCCACTTTAGTCACATGACGGGATGGCCGCCTAGTTGCCACCAGTCAGCAAGGAAAGATACGTTCCAAATCCTGTTGCTGCCTTCAACATTATTTCCATTCCCAGCAGACAGCTGAACACGAGGTTTCGTGGGCCTTGAGAATATCAGGTACTAACTCACCCCAGGAATTTCAATCCCTGGATCACCAGCTCCCACAATCTCAGATCAGGTCTTCAAGCCACTTAACTGGTGGAAAGTAGTGTGCCTGCCCTGCTTGGCAGCAGAGGGTACAGCACATTCCCTGCTGGACTGTGGCTGTTCTCTGAGCTAGACCACTTGAAGGTCCTAGTTTTGGTTAGTATGACACACCTCTCCTCTATCTGTGTTTTTGTTTATAAATGTTTTACATTTCATTCATTCAGTTTTTAAAAATCTTTCTGATTTTCTTTTTAAAAATAATTTACTTTTATTTATGTGCATTGGTGTTTTTGCCTGCGTGTATG